GACAATCCTACACCCAAGATATTTCCTGTTCCACTCTTAGTCAGTGGATTCCTCTCCCAAAGCTGATTTTTCTTTTAATATTTTCAAGAATGATGAAATAAAGGACTCAAGGTGATATATATATATATATATATATATATGTATGTATGTATGTATGTATATATATGCAACTAATGAATGCCATCTGCCATCCAACAGAAAGGCAGGGCTCTTCACTACCAGAGGCAGTACATCAAAACAATAATAATATGTGGAAAGGTTTCAACTTGTTCAGTAAAGTTATATGAAATGGTTGAGAAGAAGGTGTGTTTTATTGTACTATAAATCATGGACCACAAACAATGCATTTCAATGGATTTAGCATTCTTGAGATTGCAGCTTTTTAAGAAATGTCCTTATGGGAGATGAAACTTGGGTCTATGGTTATGATCCTGATCAAAGTTCATTGTTCTCAGTGGAAATCACTTAAGTTCTCTCCTGGTGTGAAAAAAAACACGTCAGGGCTGGGGATTTAGCTCAGTGGTTCCACGGCCGGCCTACAAGCGCAAGGACCCAAGTTCGATTCGCGGTACCAAAAAAACAAAACCAAACAAACAAACAAACAAAAAAACACATCAGTCAAAATCTGACCTCAAAGTGATGTTGACTATGCTTTTGACCTTGATAGAATTGTTCAAGAGGGGTTCGTACCCAGAAACACTACTGAGAATTCTGAATATTATAAAGGCTTTTTAAGCATTTAAGAAACCGTGTGTATAGGAAATGACCTGAGGAGTGGACAGCTTTATCCTCCATCATGACAGCGCTCTATGTCACATGTCATTTCTGGTGCAGCAGTTTCTGTCGACAAAAACACCGTGATGTGTCCACATCCGTCTTTTTCACCTGATGGGACTCTTCCCCAAAATCAAACGACCATGAAAGGTAAACATTTTAACTTGATTCAGGACAAGGAGGCAGCCATGACAGTGCAAGAAAAGACACAAGTGCAAGAGGACCTCAGAACTGCTTTAGAAAGTGGCAAGAACAATGGGATAAATGTGCTGAAAGAGCAGGAGCGTAAACAGATTTTTGAAAACTTAAGTATTCATTGTTTAAATTTCAGTTTTGATCGTGTGTGTGTGTGTGTGTGTGTGTGTGTGTGTGTATCACTAATCTCTTTGGTAGGCTGAGTCTTTAATCCAATGAGTTTTGTCTGTTTTTTGTGTTCCAAACTTTGTCACGTTGACACAAACTGAAACTATAGTTCTACAAGTGCCTAACCATATTTGAATTAAGCAGTACAATATCTAAATGCTGCTACATGAAACTTTGTAGGTGTTGTACTATTATGTAAAGACATAGGCAGCATTTAGTGATACTAGATGGCATTATAGTTCCAGGGGTTTTGAATTGTATATTTCAACATGTATTGATATTGATATACCTTATTATTTTATTATACAGAATCTTTAAACCATGTCATTTCTTTTAGTATTTAAGATTATAAGAGAGTAAATTATATTGTTTCCTGAAAAAAAATCAAACTTAAAAATCTCACCTTGCATATTCTAACAAATAAAGCCTTTATTAAAAGGAGAAGCTATGCAAATCTAGAATTGTATATACATGTCTTAGCTTAGAAATACCACATTCTTTGTTCCCTACTATTAGCAAAGTGTGCAATAATTTGCTTTATGAAATGGTAAGGAAGAATAATAGTAATAACATGTTTTACTTAAAATCATGTTTATCCTAAGTCTCTCCAAAGCCAACAGAAAGTTGGATTTCCATGTGATGGTCAAAGAAGCAGATTACAAGAGTTTTAAAATATTTCTGACTTTCTCATGCCTCATTAGTAATCAGTTCCACAATTCTGAGCCTCTGTATCACTGACCACAAGACTCTTAAGGAAAATGTTCGCATGTCCCCACTGGGTCAGCTCAGGAAGTTTGAGTCGTGGTGTAACATGACCGAACAAGCGAGGCTGAGAGTTAATGCAGAATGGAGAGAGGCATGGGCTAGTTAGTTGGCTGCTGTATTCTGCAGCTTGTAGAATGTACTTTGTGGAAGGAGAAAAAGAAAACTTCCTGCCATAAAAGTAACGATGCCCTAAGGGGAAAAATAAACATCTGTTCTCCTGTCTAGCAAATATGTTTAGGGAAAGCAGCTGTTATCTGCTTTGAGTTAAAAGGCGGGCTTTTTCCACCTCCACATTTTCCAAAGTCACATAGCTGCTTCATCTCTAATGCTAGAGGCTAGCATAAACCACTAAGGCCCTTGTCTAAACATTTTCATGTCTCTCTTTCCCTATTTCAGCCCATAGAACTGACTTCAGAAAATTCATATTTCCTTGTGAATTTAGTCTTGGGGAAAGATTCTTAAACGTATGAACTTGGGCATGGTGGCGAATGCCTGTAATCCCAGAACTCGAGAGGCTGAGGCAGGAGGATCACTGTGAGTTTGAGACCAGCTTGGGCTACATAGTGAGTTCCAGGGCAGTCTGAACAACATAGTGAGACCTTACCTTAAAAAAAAGAAAGAAAAAAGTATGAATTTACCCTGAAAGCTTAAACAAGTCTGTTGTAATTAAGTGAAATCTGAAGGCCAACATGGGCAGGGGCAAGTACAAGTAGCCTCAAATTTATAGGGAAATTTATAGCTCTCGATATCTCTATGAGATATTACCATTTTGACTATTTTACTCACAAAAGATGAAGGTAAAAGTGGAGTAGTGACATCTCAGATACTCATAGGAAATCTAAGAGTTTGGAAATCTGGTTCTAATTTCTTAATATTTCTTTTCTCTGCCCCAAAATAAAAGCCTCTTTTCATCAGATTAATCACAGTCTGATCCGGTTAAAACTCTTTAAAATGTGCTGACAAGTTCTGTGGTCCAGAGATGGAGGAATGAGGTTCCTGCAAATTACAGGGCCCACAGGGCCCAGCAATAATCTAGGAGAGAACCTTTATGGGCTGTACTTGATCTGAGGAAGCCAGAGCTCCTTGGCCTCAGCCAGTGACTGCTTCATGGAAACAGAGCTCAGTATGATATTTCAGGCGAACCTGGAGATTTGTTGTTAAATTTTTCCAATTTTTGTGAAGTATAAAAGATTCAATAATTTAACAAGAATCAGTACCAAACAAAGCAAATTGAGATGCCCTTGCCAGGTCTTCCAGTTTTCTAACACAGATTAATGTACTTCATCCTCCTAAGATTTGGGACTTTAAAAATATAATCTATTGACTCACATTAAGCAAAGATGAGATTTTATTTCCTCCCATTCATTTAATAGTCATTCTAAAAAAAAATACTAAAACTATTCATCCGTAATCACAGTGGATTCAAAAGTAGATAAGATATAACCTTGCCTGTAGATCCCAGTATGGTTTAGGAGACAGGAAGATGCAATTTATGATGAACTGAATGTAATTCAGCAGGGTGGGACTGTCTGTGAGGTGCACTTGACCCTTAGTTGAATAGGAATTGTGCCTTAGGAGAGGAATCTATGAGTTAAAGAGTAGGTACTTTACGGAAAAATCAGCAGGTACAAAGGAAACATTGATGAAAAAAAGTACAGCACTGTGGCTGGGGATTTAGCTTAGTGGTTTCTGTGCCTGCCTCAGAAGCACAAAGGCCTGAGTTTAATCCCTGGTACTAAAAAAAAAAAAAAAAGCACAGAATGTTTGAAAAAAATATAGATATTTGCTACAATTAATTTAACTGTAAAATCGAAACCAAGGATTTCAATTAAGAAGCATATCCCTCTTCCAAAAATCAAAACCAGTTTTTCCAGGCCCATCCCAGAGCTACTACAGCAGAATCTCCAAGTTAGTGGTTGTATTAGGTAGACACTGTAGGTGTTGTGATCAGGCCTGGGCAAAGCAAATGTGGTGCAGATAGGCTCTGGTAATCTGCAGAGGACATACTGTGTCAATGTGAGAGCTGGACAGCTTGCCTGGACTCGAGACCTGGCTCCATTTCGTATCTAATAGGGCTACCATGAGCAAGAGAATGAACTTTTTTATGCTTAAGTTTCTGCACCTCAAAAGCAATGGACCTAGAGTATCCACTTCGTAAGACTAGTCTGAAAATGAAATGTGAATGTCTGGAATATTATCTGTATCTTGCTTATCACTTGACTCCCACCTTATAGCATTAGAGAAGTTCCACAGTGTCTACTCCATGAATATGTATTGAGTGAGTCAAGCCAGGAAGGTATAAAAGGGCTGGATCATTGGGGTTACCAATGCAGGTATAATACATAGGTATAATACCAGGATGGTGACTTTCGCTTTTCCTCTGCCTACCTCAGCTGGAACTATATTAGTTACCCCATATGGCTCAGTTACCCCATATGGCTCAGTCTGTTAAAAAAGAATTTTTTTTAAATGAGTTGTGGGCAGGGGATTTAGCTCAGTGATTCCACTGCCTCACAAATGCAAGGACCCGGGTTCATTCCCCGGTACCTAAATAAATAAATAAATAAAATGAGTTGCTCCTGTAATAAAAATTTCTAGAGTGTTACATTAGTTTTAATCAGATCTTCATCACTGTGACAAGATATTTAAAATAATCAGTTTTAAAAAGTGGAAAGGTTTATTTTGGCCTTTGGTTTTAGAGTTTTCGGTCTGTGATCATTTGCCTCCTTTTGGGGGGCCTGTGGCAAGGCAGTACATCACGGCAGCAGGCACAAAGTGGGGCATGTTGTTGAGAAAGGGAAAGAGAAGAAAAGGAGCCAGGGATTCAGTATCCCCATCAAGGCTGTACCCTCAATGACCTTCCCTTCTCTCACTAGGCTCCACCTCTTGTTCCTCAACTTCCTTGTCACACTGCGCTGAAGACCAAACCTTTAGTGCATAGACCTTCATATGCATTTTATATACCAAGTATAATGGCATTGAAAAGAAAAACTAAATACACTGTGTGGTTTCCCTATAGCTAAGTGAAAAATCTTTTTGAATCACCACTGCGCTTAATTAACAATTTTATTTCTTTTCTTCTTCTCACCTTACTTTAGGCTGCTGTGGTACCATCTGCCCAGACCCTTAAAATTACTGACTTCAGCTTCAGTGACTTTGAGCTGTCAGATCTGGAAACAGCACTGTGCACAATTCGAATGTTCACTGACCTCAACCTTGTGCAGAACTTCCAGATGAAATATGAGGTAGGAGGCAATGAAGTCCTGTGGAGAGGGCACACATGCTCATGTTCTCTGTAAGAGAGAATTGGTGTTGGACAGTGGTATAGAATAGGGCTTTTTACATTTCAGTGACCATTTTACTGTCATCTCGTGCAAACTGTCAACCAGCAAAGAGACATTTATTGGGCTCCTGCCACATATCAAGCCCCAGGTCAAAGAATAAAGGAGTATGTTGCTAACAGCAGAGGCAGGGTTATAGGACAGATGAGCTGGTCAAGGATGAGGGTGATGAGAAGAGAAACTGGGGAGAAAGTGAAGAACCAAATTAGATAGAACTTTGTAAGCCATTCAGAGGAATCTGGATTTCATCCTGAAAATAATGTGAATCACTGAGGAATTTTAAGCAGGGAAGTAACACGATCCAGTTTCAGAGGTTGTGATAACAATGTACAGACAAGGACCAAAACAGAGGGAGCTGCTCTGGCTGTGAGAGAGTACAGGCACTTGATGTGAGGCCAGACTCTTAGCGGGAACAGGGTCACCCGGGATGAAGATGAAAACTTATTTAACCCTGTTGGTTGCCTTAATTGCCTCTCAGAGAATAGCAAGACTTAATACCTTGTAATATAGGTTTGGAGATGTCCAAGAATTCTGTTTTGTCTCACAGTGGTAGTGTATACAGAATCAAAGAGTAAGGGCACCCTAGAAGTGATGATGTACACTTGTAATCCTAGCTGCTTGGCCAGTGGATTGCAAGTTCAAGACCAGTCTTGGCAACTTAGCAAGGCTTTTCTCCAAAACAGGTTAGATGTGGCTCAGAAGTAGAGCACTTGTCTAACATGCAATCTTCAAGCCTTTGGTTTGATTGCTAACACGAGGGGTTGGGAGTATAAGAGAGGCCAGGCAGGCCGGTTATCAAACTCTGGGAGGCTGAGGCAGGAAAACTGCAAGTTCAGATCAAACTGACTTAGTAAAACCCTATCTCAAAATAAAAAAAAATAATAAAGAAAGAACTTTCGATGGGAGGCCCTGGGTTCAATACCACTACCAACAAACAAACAAACACAGAACAGAAAGAGCTCTTTAGGACAATTCTTCAGCAACTTTGCCTTTAAAGATTTTTTAATCAGTTGACTATCTGTTCTCCTTGTACATATTTGGAAATTTAAGTATCTTGAAGCCTTCCACTTTTTAGCTTTCTAGTAATTCATACAAGATAATGTTATTCAGTGCCCTCTGTATGCTCAGCATTTTGTCACATTTCATCCATGAGTTCTTCTTGTTCTAAAAGGCCTTTCATTTAGGAAAGAAAACTAAGGGTGACTAAACATTGCTAAAATTAGCATAGCTTCATATAGTACTACTGGAGGTGCAAATCTAATTCTTTGTAAAATTTAACGAGTTTGTATTACTATTTCTTCAATCAAAACCACAAACAACTGTCCATAGACTAATAATACTTCCCTCTTTTATTTACTTACTTTAACAAACTCTCGAGAAAGGTCCTTTAATTGTTATTGATATCCCCATTTTATAAGTGAAGAAATCAAGGCAACATGGATTTTGAGTTGCAAATAATCCTGTGATCAGCTTATATTCCCTTGGTGATTAATCTTTCACATTCTTCATTTCCTCTTCAGTGAATTAGAGTTAATGGTGTTACTTCCTGGTGTGAGGCCCATGACATCCATTCATCTATGTGATATTTGTATGCAAATGTATACTTGTGTCTGATATTCTGTTTAATACACAGGTGTAGAGTACATGTCAGTTTTCCCATTCATAGGCCATTTTACTAAGGCTGTCACCACAATCATATTTTTCTGCAGTATGCTCTAGGGCTTATTTTTAAGGCTTCATCTATTAATGGTGTGAAGATCTGCTTTAGAGCTTTGAGAATCTCAATTCTATCTGATAACATCTCTGCTCCTTTTCAGTTCTTTTGAGAGCTCCTTGCTGGAAACTTGTAATAATTCTCTTGAAAGGTTGAAATGGCCTGCCCAGAATAAGTTGATGTCTTATTTACTTTTTAGATGGCATTTGAGGGTCGAATAAGGAAGATAATCACTCAGAGTTTCTGTAACAATCTTTATTCTTAACTTTGCTTGGATTTTTATCTATAGAAAATATTTCTTCTCAGTGTCTAATTCATGTACTTTCCTTTTTGGTTTGAATAAACACTATTCCAACTCTGGGCCGCATCAGCCTGACCATTACAATTACTTTGATTGGTCTTCTTATCTTACTGCCTCTTTTGATTTGTTTTTTTTCTGATATTTTTGTCAGTATAATTTTAAGATGATAAAATTAAAATGCTATTGCTAGAGATGTTAACATCTTCTCTAACAAGCCGCCCTGATAGAGTATTTCATATTGAAAAGTAGAGCTTTAAATCTCCACTTTGACTTCAGAAACTTGAGTTACTCTGTAATGGTCGCAGCTATGCCTCTTGCCAATCTCTGAAGCAGACCCTTGTCTCTGGTCCAACAAGTCTGCATGTATACTTATGTTCAACTTCTGTCTTTTATGTGCATTATCCTCTGAATTATGTCTGCTGCATTTTACGCCACCACATACTCCTCTCTTCCTTAACGCCTGACTAAAAAATCTCTGCAGGAGAGCTCTAGGGTTGACTTTGTGCCTTTTACACTACTGTTTGCAGTTCATAAATTCGTGTTCCCACAAATTTGTTATGTTGATTTCTGTAGTTAAGTACAAACTTCTCCTACGTTCACTGTGGATTGGGTTTCCAGAAAGGTGCTGTGCTCCATTTAGTTTCTTTCTTCCCTTGTTTGCATGACACCTTGAGTGTGTCAATCACGGAAGCCTCCTTAACTGTTGAAGACTCCGTATTACTGAAGGCATTCTCTGTAGCTATCTAATCTATGCTGCGAATGACTGCTCCATAGGCCTGTACAAAACACCATGTTACCACACATCTCAATATTGCCAGATACGTACAAGCTGAACTGAATTTTCTTGTGTGCTGTTCGGACCAACCTGATGATAGTATCTTAAACTGTATTTTTAAATGTAATTACTAATAACTGTAGCCATTGAGTTGTCTGATTCTATTAAGTCCATTTTAAGATGCATAGTGGTCTATTAGGAATTATGTTTTCATATAGTCAATTTGGTCACTCCAATTCTATAGCATATGTGCATATTTAATTATCTATAAATTTAGAAGTAACAAAAATATATGTCCATATGTTAAATTTCTGGGGATTTTTTATTGCTTCAAAAAATTACAAGTAATTTTCTACAGTATGCCATTATAATTTCTAAACATATCAAAGAAAACTTACAGATTTTATTTAAATTTCTCATACAAGGATCAGACATCCTCATGACAGACTATATGCAGGAATGGTCAAACCTTAGGGTGAATACATGCCAGTCTGAGGCATGAAGAAATTTTCTAGTTGAAATACAACTCAGAGTGTGAGAGGTTAAGGGACACCCATGTTCTTTGTCATCAGAACTCCCTATGAACTAAGTTACAGAACAGAGACAAAAAAGACCTAAAAAACAAAGGGAAGATGGGAAAGCACTGATTTCCTGCCAAATCCTCTTTACCTAGTCTAGCAACAATGATGAAGCCTTGCTTGTGACCTTCTGTAGCCAGTCACAGTGTGTGAATATTGGCAAATAACAACCGTTGCCCTCCTATTTCTGTACTCCCCTGTGTAGTACTCTGTTTGGAGCATACACACTGATGTATGCGAGGAGAAGCACAGATTTATTTTTTACAAAACCCCAAAAGTATAGCAAATCATTCAGATTTGAAAAGCGGTAGAGTCTGATGCTAAAACAAAGACAGACTAACCATGCTTTGGGTCCGTGAGTCCCTGGGATTTTATTTAATACAGCACTTGGAAGTTGGATTAAACCCAACTGTGAGACTTGCTGAACAACCTGGCCTATCATCTTTTAAAGTACATTTTTTCCAAATGGACCCCTAAGCTTTATTTTTCATATGTTATCTTAAATTTTTTTACTTCTTCATAGCCCAGAAGTAACTGTGTTTGATACTTCAGCATAGTTTAAAAAGGCAAATATCTAATTAATGATGGTTTAGGACTCGCAGCTCGATTTGTGCTTGCACATGTGCTGCCTACCTTGTCCCCAGTCCACCCTCAGAGCCTTGCACTTGAACACCTTTGCAAGCACACAGCTTGGGAGCTTGAAGAACTTGCTCCCTAAAGGTGAATGCATGTGTATGTGATTTTCTAGACTCTCTGAACTGAGGATACAGGGACATAATAGCTTGTAAAAAGTTAGCCAGTGCCCTTCCTGTGCCAAACACACCTTTCTTGGAGATGTTGTGTATTTTACATCTAATTTAGGATGTGGAATTCTGCAGTCAGACTGCTCAAGTTTGAATCTTGGCCCCACCCCCAAGTTGCCTCAGCTGTTAAAGGATCAAAATACTGCTGCCTCCCTCACAGTCACAAGGATGAAATGTGAATGCTTTTTACTGTGCCTGGGAGGCAGGCAGTGTATGATAAGTGTTGACAGTTATTGTTTCCTTGTATTTTATTTCCTAAAGGTTCTTTGCAGATGGATTCTAAGTGTTAAGAAGAATTATCGGAAGAATGTGGCCTATCACAATTGGAGGCATGCCTTCAATACAGCTCAGTGCATGTTTGCCGCCCTAAAAGCTGGCAAAATCCAGGTACTTTTTAGAGCTGCTCATATCTTTAAGATATCTTGTTACCTAGCAATCAACCATAGAACATGTTAATTTTTTTTTTATTTGCTGCCCTAAAAGCTGGCAAAATCCAGGCACTTTTTAGAGCTTCTCATATCTTTAAGATATCTTGTTACCTAGCAATCAACCATAGAACATGTTAAGTTTTTTTTTTATATTTGCCACCCTAAAAGCTGGCAAAATCCAGGTACTTTTTAGAGCTGCTCATATCTTTAAGATATCTTGTTACCTAGCAATCAACCATAGAACATGTTAATTTTTTTTTTATTTGCTGCCCTAAAAGCTGGCAAAATCCAGGCACTTTTTAGAGCTTCTCATATCTTTAAGATATCTTGTTACCTAGCAATCAACCATAGAACATGTTAAGTTTTTTTTTTATATTTGCCACCCTAAAAGCTGGCAAAATCCAGGTACTTTTTAGAGCTGCTCATATCTTTAAGATATCTTGTTACCTAGCAATCAACCATTGAACATGTTTTTTTTTTTTAATGTGCACTAATGGTCATTGAAAATAACTTACTGCCGCCTACACAGTAAATCATGATTTGTTAAAGATTAATATGACAAGATATTTAGTTTCTAACTTTCATATATAATATACATGACAAAATAACTTCATATTATATTTTAGTATATGTGCTGCTAAAGCAAGCACTTCATATTATATTTTAATTGTCTTTGGGAAAACAAAAATGTCCCTCGAAAATGACACAGAAAATGAGTATCATATTGTTCATGTCACCTTCAACCTGCTCTATAGTAACACTCTTCAAAAACCACCCAAGTCTCAAACTTGGCTTTATGAGAGGCCCAGGGTTCTCCATGGTATTTTCTCAGGACCACTCACATACTTTTACTGTTTCAAAGAAAAGGTTTTGTTTTCATATACATTGATCAGAGGCTATTTAAAAGGAAGATCAATGCAGAAAATGTTCAAGTAATTCATTCCTTGCTAGGCCACCACATTTTTCCATATCTCTATCCTTAGATTCTAACTTCAGTGCAAATCAACTAGTTATTCTAGGTAAGTGATTTCAGACATCTGTCACATAACTGCTCCAATTCAGATTTTTCTCTTTTTTAAAAACAAATTCTAAAAACGTTATTCTCTATTACATATTGTAACTGACTAAATCTAATGGAAATGATTTGTCTGGGAGTGTAGCTCACTGGTATGGTAAAGTGCTTGCCTAGCATATGCAAAGCCCTGGGTTCCATCACCACATAAACAAACACACAAATTATTATCCAAGAAGCCATATGAAACAACATAGTGGTATTTTCCTGCCATAGCAAACATTGATAAGCAATAGGATAAACTTGTTTAGAGTATGCAGAGGTTACGAGGATTATCACTGTGAAAACTGTCCTTGCTTTTTATGAGAAATAAAAAAATGATAATTTTTGTAAATAAATAAAGGTTTTGCTTTAAAACCTATTTGCAGTGCTAAGAATCACAGCAGAATAGAGCTGACACAATGACTTGTGTTTTATTAATAACAGAGGGGAAAAAGTATAGAAAACACAAATGGCAGATATTAAAAATAACCCAAATTTAGTCTGGGAATACATGATGCAACTTTTGAAAGCTAAACTTTTATTCCCAATCATCTTCCATTGTTTTATGTAATAGTCACATCATCTGCACTTGTTTGAGGAAACAACAACTCACAGCACACAATGAAGCACGATCTGCAGGGAACAAAGGACAAAAAGCGATTATTCAAAGCTTATTATGATTTTTCCACATACATGTAATTAAGAATTAGTGATATTGGGGCTGGCCACATAGCTCAGTGGTAGGAAGCTTGCCTAGCACATATGAGTCCCTGGGTTTGATCCCTAGCACAGAAAAATAAATGTGATTTTACTGGAAGTAGACTATTCTTTGGGGAGGCGTTTCAGCTTTGTCTGTTGATAAGTGATGTTTACAGTAATCCCACTGTGAAAGACAAAGTACAGCTGATTCTCTGCAGAAGTCTAGGGTGAATCCTTTGTGACTACGTAGATATACATAAAGCCTTGAGAAAAACAAAAATAGATCACTGAAAAAAGTAGTAAAATGCCCTTTGCCAAAATGTATCTTTTTCTTTTCCTCCAATGCCTCTGACAATGCAGAACAAGCTGACCGACCTAGAGATACTTGCATTGCTGATTGCTGCACTCAGCCATGATTTGGATCACCGTGGTGTGAACAACTCATATATCCAGCGGTAAGATGGATTACCCAGCTGAACAAAAAAATATGGCCCTTAAATTGTAGAGCTGTGTTTTTCAAAATTAAAGCCACAGGGGAAACAAGTGATGGTTCAAAATTTCAATTGATCAAGCTCCCATAACTGCTCTGGTTATATTTAATGGAAATGGAAAATATAATGTAAGTTTAATGCTATTTTGATTATGTTTCAGGCCTGAAGTTTAAAAATATATATAAAAGAACTTAAAAGCTTCTTAGTAAGTTATTAAGACTCATTTAGAGGGGATAGAATTTCACCCTGAGGTAGAATAAGTAGTATTTGGGAATTGTTTAGCATGGCTGTGTTCGCTGAGTAAAACTTTGGTGGAAAAGGTTTTGGATCCTAATGCAGACACTAGAGCACAGTATTGGAGAACTTGGGCTTTATAGTCAGTTTTGGATTCAAATCCCAGCTCTGCCACCAATTTTTGGGTGGTCTTGGACAAGGGTGCTGTCTTCTCTACATCTTAATTTTCTGATCTGTAAAATGGAGTAATTGTAACACTCAGAAGGTTGAGTTCAAGGCCAGTCTGAACTACTCATGGTTAGAAAGTCTACCTTATACAGGTGAAATTGCTTCCTACTGAGCATCTTTTTAAATATGCAGATGATTCAACTAGTAGATAGATCTCTTAATGAAACTCCAGATGTCTGATATCATGATTTCAGAAAGCTCTGTAATCACAGTCCCTTTATCCAAATAAACAGAAAACTTCATGTAAAGGGAATTGTAGTAATGAAAGAACTATGTCACATGTTGACCTTTGATGGGAAAAGATGGCTCTCGTCTAAGTACCGCAGTCTGATTGTTTCCTCTTGAAAGCCTAAATGTTTTGAAGAACTGACTGGATGACATGTCCTTAGTCTGTGTGCGTGGTCATGTGATTGCAATCCTGAGCCTCACATCGGCACTGAGAGCCATTATGGAAGAAAAATCATATACAAGACATGGCATAGTCAAGCTGCATTCTGTGGTGTTTCATAATCAGCATGACCTAAAGATCAGTGAGCCCGGGCCATGACCCTGCCTGGCTTGAAACTGAGCCCCATATTATTAGTATATAGACAGAGTGTGGATTGCACCAACATGCCGTGGTGCTCTGTGTATAGTGAAGACAAATGAAAAACAACACTCAACTATTTTTTCCTTTGTTTATTTAAAAATAATTACACAGAAAAAACATCTGGCGAAACGTCATCTTCTCTCTTAAAAGAAAAAAAAGGCCTGGGAAAAAGGTCATAGATTGCAGAATCTTGCACCACAAAGCTGACTTCAACCAAGTAATAATAACTTTTTTATAAAGTAGTTTTGGAGACTTTTATGTCTTCCTACATCCCTGTGGTTTGACTAGAAGAAACTAAGATTTTTTTCCAGAGATTTTAAAAACTTTTTCTTACTGGTAAATGAATGATAACTTAGTGTGGGATTTTTTTTTTAGCCGGGGGATTCTTGAGCAAATAAAAGTACCATAAACATTCCCATATAAAGCACTATCTTCTATAAAAGATTCTGTGTCCAGAGTTCATCAGATGCTTAAACTATTATGCAAAGAAAACTAACTTTTAAATGGGATGATGGTTAGTTAGCCTGATTAGTGGCAGGTGGCTCACAGTGACTAAAGATGAAATGTCAAATGATGGACAGTAGAAGGTACAAGACCCTGTTGACAGAGAGCTAGAAAATGGAATAGTGCATCTTACATTTGAGATAGTAAAAGCCAAGGAACCACTGTCATATGTAATAAAGACATCATTTAGAAGGAAAGATGCAAATGAAGCCTCAAGGTAAAAGGGTAGAAATTAAAACCACAGAGCTCAATTAGAAATCTTTTTTAGCAGGACAGGTGAGAGACAAAGATAAGGAAGAAGAAGAAAAAAATCTGTTAACATTGAACAGTTTATTATATGCATGAAGGAAGAAGAAAAATCATGACTTCTAGTCCAAGAATGTGCTCAGAGGTGGTGAAAGCAGAAGAGCAGGGAAGTTGGCCTGTGTGTGTTGGGAGGAAGTGAAGAAGGCAAGGGTGATGGAAAAGGAGGCTTGGCAGAGGGCAGATCATAAATGAGTGGGCAGACAGAACAGGCTAAATCATCTGGTGAATTTTTTTTCAAGATTAGAAGTGGCATAAAACCAGAAAAGTAATATTTCCACAATCAAGCTGTGGATGTCTGTCCGGTTGAACTCGCTCTATGCCTGGTCTCTGGTCTCGAGGAAGGAGCGGGAGGGAGCTGGGGCCCTGGGTGGTTCAGTGGAATTGAGAGTCCGCAGCATCTGAGAGACTTACAACGGGACTGATCAAAGCTTATAATCATAAATTGCAAAGCTCAAACTGTTTAGGAACTTATCAAGAAGTGAGGTAATTACTGAGGTCACGAGAAACTGGAGATCTGAATAGAAATGAAAGTGCAAGTTCTAGTCAGGCGCAAGCCTAAAATCCTAGCTACTTGGAAGGCTGAATCAGAAGAATGGCAAGTTGAGTCCATCATGGGCCTCAGTGATACTCTGTCTTAAAAAATAAAAAGGGGCTGGGAATCAAGCTCAGTGGTAGAGCATTTGTCTAGCATGCGTGAAGCCTTAGGTTCGATCCTCATCACTGGCAGGGGAATAGTACAAGTTTACTTAGTCAGAATGTCATAGTAATAGTAGCAGGTGTTATATCTAAATATAGCCCGTATCGTGTGACAGTTGGAACTCTTTAGTCCTTCTACCTTGCAGCCTTGCAGTGTCTGTGGTGATCATGATGGATAACATTTGATGCTTCCATTCAGAGTCTAATTCCTTCTCTCATCATGGGACCTCACGCTAGCCATTTAACCTCTGTCCCTGTTTCCTTCTCTGTATAATGAGAGTCCCCATCTCAGGTTTTTTGTTAAGACTAAGGGAATACAAATAAATTTGAAATGCTTGGAATACTTAGTAAATACTCTTCAGGGCTTAGCTGTTTCATAGGAGATGCTTGTAATGATAGTTAGGACTTCATATATATTTGAACATATATAATAACACAAGGACTTGCCTTGTGCTATTGTGGATTAAGGGAGAGCCAAGATACTATGCCTCGTGGCATCCAGTAGTGTGGTACAAAGTGAGCCCGTGTCTGTTGTTGATGTGAAAAGAGACAACTATTAGTGTAAAGAGGTCAAAGAAATTTGGGGTCAAAAAGTCAAATGAATCATCGGCTTGAAAGGCTATGGCATCATGATTACAGAGAATGAGAAAGGGAAAGCAAAATGCCTTCTGATTGGTGGAAGAAGACAGTAGATTTGGAGAGAAATGTTGATGTAAAGAACTATGTGGCATTCACATAGGTTACAATGAAATTGTAGATATCTGAGTGGAGGGTAATACATGTGAGTGAGAAACAGTATCACAGTTAGATACTGTTAGAGTTAGTGTTGGTGAAGGGGGAAGACTGGCATGGCAGGATCGTTTTTTTCACAGGACTTATTTTTCTAATTGACTTCTAAGGCTTTCTAGAATATTGGTCTGACTTCTATGTGGGTATCCTAATTCCAGTCTGAGAGATGAATCAGTGCTGTGCAGGATGGAGGTAAACAGAGAATGTATTGGTCCATTAACACTCACTGACATCAGTGGGAATAAAATCCAGCCGCAGTGGTGACTTAAATAGGTCTTTCTGGTGTAACTTCAAGTAGTGAGGCAATCAGCCTCATGTTTGAAAGAGTGAAAAGCAACAGGATGTTGAGTACATTGATTTCCATGCATACTTTTGTAAACAGGAAATCTGAGGCATTTGTCACCCTTTTATTGATTTATAAATCTGTATTTTTAGAATGCAAGTAAAGACAAACATGATTTGCATCTGTCTATCTGACAAGCCAAGAATTTTCTCTAATGGGAAACAGTCCTTTCAGCATCATCCGAAAAATGTATTGTGCATGTGAAGTTCCAACTTGTCTGTGTCACGGTCACCTAATTGCATTTCCTGGTCTGGCTCCTGACTGGGTCAATGAGTGGGTGCTGTGGTGTCGTGAGACACTGTGGTTTGGGGAAGAGGATATGTTTCAATTCCAGCTCTGCGATACCATCCTTGAGCTGGTTAGATAATCTCTCCTAACCTGGAGTCATCTAACAACTACAGAAATGCCCATTTTAGAGCAATGTCAGACCAAGTTATCTGAAGATATATGGCTTGAGACTGAAGTTGCTGGGCATGTAGCTTATACATGAATATGACCCAGGAAACAGGACTGGGAATGAAATGGAAGGAGGGAAATCCAGTAGAAGCATGAGACAACCAGATGTCCACCCATACAAGCAACTGGTGCTCAACCCTGCTATGTGGCTGTAATGGTTCTTATTAAATGAGACCTAGAAATGTTCACCCGCAAGACAAAAGGCAGCTTCTCCATAAACTCCCATGCCCCAGTCAGAGGTGACCTCAGTGCCACCACACTCCCAGGTTGAAGAGGTGTGAGTACAGAGAACACTGTGCTGTGTACCGGCTGTGAGTGGGTGAGCTTCAGGGCTGGCCTGAGAGGTACAAGAATGAGCCAGGGTGAGGTGCTTTCTGAATGATCCCTGCCTGAAACCTCTTAAAGTGGGAATGCAAAAGCAGGGGGTGACGATTCTGATGTGGCCAAGGGAAGTGTCCTATACTTGATTACTGTAAAAATTAAATATCATAAACTACCTGAGTGCCTGCAGTGGTTGCCAACCTGTGGCATTCATGTCACAGTGAGCTGTTTGTAACACTGAAAGCTTTTCGCCATCACTGTTACAGGCTTTCAATAAGTGGAAATTTTTACCAACAGGGGAAACAAATGTCAAGAAATTCAAGAGATTTGATTTATATCGCAGCAGGCCAATAGGCTTCTAAACAGCTAATATTTGGCAGAATAAAGTTGATAATAAACTAATTGTGTGTCCTTAAATTTCTCACATAAATGAGAATACCAGATAAAAATTTTCTTTTTATTCTAAGTAAAGGGAATAGGAAAAGTGGCATTTGCTATGTTAAAGTCAACTTTAACATATCTAATCTGAGTGATGACAAAAGTAGTGTTGCCAAAATACTGACTATAGAATAAAAGCAGTGTTCAAAAGAAACATGGTTGATTCTGTTTGTTTTGGGCCACTGTCATTACAGGCCAGCTCCCTGGATCATCTCATCTGACACCATCACTGGGATAACCACCTGCATTTTGCTGCATCACAAATTTATATCCCCAATCCAGACCCAAATTCAGCATTTATATCCAGTGGGACATTTCTCAGGCACCATAAAACCAAAAGATCTGACTATCCAGCATCTCTTCCTTCACCTCCATCTGTAATCACCTGTTTTCCTGGGTCAGGAAGCTCCTTGTCCATATGGCTGCCCAAGGAAGTTTAGCATCCAGTCTTTTTCCCTCCATCTCCCTCATCTCGCTCCTAATCTGGGTCCACTGCCAAAGCCTACCCAGTCTACCTCCTGAGCAGTTCTCAGAAAACCCTCCTCTTCACCCAGGCTCATTTATTTAGGACACTAGAAGCTTCCCAATGGTCTCATAATTACCTCCCAGGAGGCTATATATCCTCAGTCTTGTTTCCAACAGGTTCTGCCTCTTCTCAATCTGCTTGGTTTCTCCATTCCTTCATTCTGTCCACCAACAACGAGCACAGAGCCTGATCCACAGTACAGATTATTCAGTATGGAAGGGGAAAGAAGACGAGCAGGCAGGAGTTAATCAGGGCAATGAGTTCGCAACAGAGGTGATAGTTTAACCAGGGGAATTGGTGAGATTACCAATTCTCTCACCTATATTTTTATTCCACTGCTTTTGCTTTCCCCGAGCTTCTCTCATTTTTCCATTTTTTCTGACATTACACTGCTTCTACCATGGGTAGTTTCCCTATTCTCAACAACAGCATCACATTTATAAAGCAAATGCAGAGTAAAACAATAACTCAGATGGTCCTAATTCTTTGGTGGGTGCTTCACAGTTCATATACCCTCTTTTCTGTAAATTTGAGAAACAGATTTTCAGAATTTTTTTTTCTTTTGAAGAATAGTGAAACTTGTTTGATAAACACATGTCGAGGGTCGTGAGAACTGAGATGGAAAACTGTGTCAAGCCTTAGCATTTGATTTGTGACTGTCCTACACATAATAACATCCTTCCCCCTCTTGACTCAGCCAGAGGGTCTTCACAGCTCCCCTGAGTTCAGATTAGAGAGCTAGCAGGATATCACACACTGACATAACCCAGTCCTACACACAGGACTGACTCAGTGGGCTCCTTCCTCCTTCCAAGGGGGCTGTGCACTCATTGGCCCCTTTGCCTGTCATTACCCCAGTTAATTCCATCTTCCGCATTTGTTCTGTTCTGTGCATGTGTAAATAAGCTGGTCCTCATCCTGAGCATTACTTCAGAGAAAAAGTTACCATGTGAACTGGATTCAGATGTTAAGTCAATTGCAGTTAGGCACTGAAAAATATTATTGGTATGGTATGATTTACACATTGCCTTAGTCACTTTCCTCATTGCTGAGACATAATACTCAACACCTGCGAAGTTAGAGGAGGAGATGTTTCTTTCGGCTCACATCTACAGTCCATGATGGGCTGGCTCCCAAGCAGGATAACATAGTGGAGTGGCTCAGCAGAGGGGAGCTGCTCATGTTGTGGCAGATGAAAAGTAGAGAGAGAGTCAAGGGAGCCACGAGTCAAGGAGATAGGCTGTGCTGAGCTACACCCCCAGCGACCCACATCCTCCAGCCAGTTTCCATGTCTTAAGAAAATTAGCTTTGCCCTTGTTCTTTACATCTTTGGTCTTATTCAGTATTAAAACCTGTGAAATTGTTCATACTTTAAAATGGCAGCAGTTGTATTATTGATAGATGAAAACAATTTGACTCTTTGTATTTATTTCCCAGTGCTTACCTCCCTTTTTTCTCAGCAGAACAGAAAATTGTTTGATTAGCTTTGCGAAGTGCCTTCTTGTTTAGTCCAATAATAATAATAATAATAATAATAATAATAATAATAATAATAATAGTAATGATAGGAGTGAATTGATCAGCTGGCATATATTTGGACAATGATGTTTCTTCCTTCAATGAAATATGTTTTAGGAGTGAACACCCCCTTGCCCAGCTCTACTGCCACTCTATCATGGAGCACCACCACTTTGACCAGTGCCTGATGATCCTTAATAGTCCAGTAAGTACCTAATTTATTGTGGAATTTTCAAAGAGAGTGCTATAAATTCAGCTTTATTTTTAGGTTTTGGACTTATTCCCAGCAGCATAAATTCTTGAACATACTCTATTCCTTTTTGGGTAAAGAAGGCAAAACCAAAACATTGGAGATCCTCCCCACCTCACTCTAGAAAACCAAAACTTTCTAAATGGTGCCAATCAATAAGGGAAATTAGGTCATTTTAACTGGCTACTCGGAATGACATTGTTATTTGGTGAGTTCTTGGTCAAGTATGCTCCCCACCCCCAATCAAATAAAATAATTTATCCAGCTCAGGATGTTTTGTTTTTTTTTTCACAAAGCAATGCTTTCCTTTTTAGTTTTTGTTTATTTTTGTTACTGTTGTTGTTATTATCTTAAGTTTGTTTGCAGTACTGGTAGTTCAGCCCATGTTACGCAAATGCTCTACCGCTGACTGAACTGATGTTCCCATCCCTCTCTCATTATTGAAACTTCTGATCACTAACAAACTTATACTAAGGAATAAAGCTATTGGACAACTTGACTAAATGGATGTTTGTCACTGTAAGAAAACATATGATATGCTAAACATGCCAATGTTGAGGAAATAAGATTAAAACAATACATACCAGAATATTAACAATAATTTTGTGAGGTGAAATTATTAATATTTTTTATTATTGGGAAAAATTGCTCACATTATTTGCTGAGCACAATGAAAGGTACATACTCCTAAATCAATTTTATTAACATATCTTTAACTTTGCTCAGTAACCCTGAGCCCGGGAAGAGAACTCAGGAAGTCACGTGACCTTTTGTCACTGTTTTATAAGTAAAAGCCCTCTAATTGCTTTAGGTGCCAACATACAGTACACAGTTCAGAAACCAGTGTCCAGTCCTGGGCAGTTGTTCCAATTTAGAGCTTAATTTAAGTTTCAGGTTCTTGTTCCTTACATTATGTTTCTTCTAATTTCATCCCCACTTCCAAATCTCCCTATATTTTTCTACCCCACCCCAAACCCCACTTATGGAGAATACGAAGGGAAACTAGGGGCCGGGGTCACTTAGCAGACTGGTCCTGTTACCAGTCTCAGTCTTTGTGACTGGATGGGTACAGAGGGGCTAGCCAGCCTGCACCTTGCCTCTTAGACTTCTCAGAAGGGTCACACACAAAAGTCTACCCTAGTCTCACCTCCACCCAGTAGACTATGAGTGATACACAGGGACTTCCAGGGCCCTCTCTTACTTAAGGTGAGGGGAGCATACTCTTAACCATCCCAGAGCACCTCACAGTAGCTGCTTCCTTGGGCAGCCTCCTTAGAAAGTTGGCATATACCCTGATGTAACTACTGTGCTGCCATGCGTGAATGAATTAGTAGCTGTGTGATTGGTAAGTAGAGCAGTAATGCTGTAGAAGTTGTATCACTTCATACACAAATTGTCAGGGGAATGAGTTACCAGAGTGGTGGGAGTTGAATTGTGACCTTTAGCAAAAAAAAAAAAAAAAA